GTAGTGACCAAACTGTATTCTCTCTCTCTCTCTCTCTCTCAATATATATATATACAATAACAGTTAATAAAAATGAAAACGCTACAGCCCTGACTAAATGATTTCATTTCTCTGTATCCTTGGAAACAAAATATTATGAATTGTATGTGCGTTTAAAACCCAGTAAATTAAAAAAATAAGTTATTCCAAAATTCGCTTGAAGATGAAACAGAAATAATGCTTTTAATTTAATTATATAATTAAATTTGAAGTTTTTAGCTTCGGTTTTTGAAACATGGTAATTTCTGTGTAGCGAAGAAACCATATTTTTAATCAGTTAATTTATAATATTTATCCTCTGTAAATTTACATTGAGCACTGTTTTTGTTAAGGGGTCCACCCCTTTTTATACAAATGGACTCGCCTAGTGTCTACGTGTACTGCTGCCGGTGAATATCCGGGTGTGAGAGTGAGATATGAGAGTTTGTGGTAATTTTGCTTTGTATGATTCAGTTTGTGAGCACGTAGAACTCAGAAGGAAGTCATAATTCGATACTGAATTTCCCAGACTGTATATGTATTATTATTGCTACTAACCGCATTTCTGGATCTACTAACCGTATTACCAATTGTATTATTATGACAATATATTTATTTACTATATTTCAAATAAGTAAATTTATTCATTTTGAGATCAGATTTCATTTGATGATTTAAAGCAGTTTTTATAAAAAATAAAATATTAATAAGAACACCAGATTATATATCTTACTGGAAATTTTTTTTTTTAATATATATATATATATATATATATATATATATATATATATATGTATTTTCAGAACCCATATTCGTCTGATATGCGTTTTTCCTATATACAAGTTGCGCTGGGTAAATTGTCGCCAATTTACATCTTTAAATTTGCGCATGCTTTTTGTTCGTTTTCATTTTGACGATTGCGCAACATATGTAGGGATAGTTTAAAACCGCCTAAAAAAAAAAATGAATAAAAAAAAAAACACAATGACGCAATTCACTTCGCCAGAAATTTGGAAACCGCATGTAGTACTGTTTGGCATTCGCGCCGGAAGCCCCAATAAAATAAACATTTCAGAATGTCTGAGTATCAACCTGAGGACAGTGCAGAGGATTCAGAAAGAGTTGGATGAGTCTAATGGTGATTACGAAGGTACGGCAGGACAGAAATTTCACTCTGATCGTTCTGATAACAAAAGAACTCAAGAATTTGTTAGTGAAGACCTCATACTCAACACGGAGGCCTACATCAAGTGCTGTGAGGAGGTAGTGCTACCCTGAGTTAAGAGGATGGCTGCTGGAAGATACTATGTCTGGCAACAGAATTCTGCACCATGCTACCTAAGCAAGAGAACCCAGTGATAAATGCCAAACAATTTCTTCAACCACATCACCCATTGCATCTAGCTACCTAACTCGCCAGACTGTAACCCCCTTGATTATAATATTTGGGTCGAATTTTAGCGAGGGGCCAACAAAACTCCCTGTAAACCAAAAATAAACTGAAAGCAAGTATTATGGCATCCTTCCCCAACTTATGCAAAGAGTTGCAGGAGATTCCGAAGTTGTCTGAAGCTGTGGTTTAAGCCAATGGCGATTTTATTGAATAAATTTACTTCTTGAGCATTTCAAGCTTTGTTATGAAATATCGGTACATATATCTCTTAAAAAGGGATGCCAGTATAATTTTCATTTTGCGTCATTTACATGACAATTTATTAATTTTAACCTATATATATATATATATATATATATATATATATATATATATATATATATATATACCAGGTATAATGGTAATATTGTCCAGATGGTGTAAAAGCAAAATTTATGGATTAATTTTTTTTTAACAGTTATATCTTAGAAATGATTAAAAATATCTTACTGGAATTCTCTTAAGTTTTGTATGGTTTTATTAGACTCTTCTTGGAGCAATAAAATGTAAAAATACTCTCCAAGCTTAACAGAAGAATCGTGATGAAATCGATTATAAACTAAAATAGTATGCTCATCATTAATTCATCATAGCTAAGGATCAGAGTCTCATGAAGGATTGAAATAAAGTTCTAATATATATATATATATATATATATATATATATATATATATATCATTTTCCAAACATTCTAAACTTCTTTCATGAAGTAACAAGGTGTTTCACACGTTTTACGTACAATTTCAATTTCAAGATGTTTCGCTGCTCTTTAGATTGTCATAGCTGAAACTAATCTGACACGAGTCAAACGTCTTGTGGATTGAGTTGGATCTTTTCTAATTGATCTCTTTAGCATTAGGTGGAAATGATCCCTCTCCCCTTTGTGATCTGCTTATCCAGTTTTCCTCTCTAATGTTACATCTTTTTTTTAAAATTTATTCACCATTCTCGTGACGGTTCTAAAATGGAGTTTGAAGATGGATGATCTTTTTCCTCACACCAGTTCTCTCTTGGGAAAACATAGTTGGGCTGACACAAAACGATTTTAACCTGTTCTCTTTCTAGCTGAATAACTCATGGGGTTTTTCAATGATTCTTACGACAAATGGTGTCAAGATGGATAAACGTCTGATCTGAAAACCTTTTTACACACTATTATATATATATATATATATATATATATATATATATGTATATATATATATATATATATAGTGACACGCATAAGTATTAGATACATGTTATTTTCTGTTATAACTCTAGTTTATGTTCGCCATTTTGCCTGATATTTGGTAAGTAATATCTCGTAAAGTTGTTTTAGTTGTATGTGGAAGGAAAATTAAAAACTCATGGTTGAATCCATTTTTTTTATCAAAGTTCAAAATTACCCTATGCAAAAGTATTGGATACATCAATTTAATATTTTGTTGCATAGCCTCTGTTTTGTTTCCCTGCTTCCAGTCACTTTCTATAGTTGGCCACAAGTTTTCCACACTGATCCACAATTATTTTACCCCATTCTTTATATGTATAATTCCTCTAATTCCTTGATAGTTTGTGGATTCCACTTATGAACTTTAACCTTCAAAGTATTCCACAAATTCTCAATATATCGATTTCATCATGATTCTTCTGTTAAGCTTGGAGAGTATTTTTACATTCTTATTGCTCCAAGTATAGTGTTATACAAACCTCGGAGAATTCCAGTAAGATATTTTTAATCATTTATATATGAAGAAATAGGGTTTTAATGTGTGCTATATTTATGGGATAAAGTGTTCAATATTATGTAGAGAGCGTATTTAAATATATATATAAAAGTGAACATAGAAGTCAACACGGACTGACGATTGCGTATATGGGCGCCTCAGCGTGGTGTAATGGTTAGTAAGCTTGTCTGGCTAGAACAATTACGAGTGATTAGTGAGTTCGATTCTCACTGGGTGCTCCGTACTTTCGACCTTGTGCCACATCTAAGCAGCGCTTAGAAAATCACTATTTAGGGCTCCTCGAGGTGGTGTAATGGTTAGCTAGCTTTTCTCGCTAGAACAATTACGATTGAGCAGTGTGTTCGATCCTCACTGGGTGCCCCTTACCTTCCACATCCAAGCCACGCTTGGAAAATAACTCTCTCTCTCTCTATATATATATATACAATGTTTATCCGTTCTTTTTATAAATACAAATATTTAAGTAAAGAGAGCGTATAAACATAAAAAAATGTCTTAAAAAAATAATTGTCGGACTTTGTCCATTTCATAATATATATATATATATATATATATATATATATAGATATATATATCTTGCCAGAATATGCTCTCTTTCCCAGAAACTGTAACGGAGGTCCATGCATTTTAAATAATAGGTGTCCTGATTGAGAAGGTCTTTATAATGGCAGGCACCCTTGTATGATCGGAAACGCATCGCTCACGGCCATTTATTCTTTCCATATATATATTTAAGTAAATTTATTGCAGTATCTTGCCAGCAATCACCTGATGTTGTAGCATCCTCAGGCTGTATGTATCAGAAAGTGAGAAATGCATGGTGAAGAGCTACGAATATCATTTAATATGCATAGAGCCTGTCTATGCCCGATGAAACTTTACTTGCGAGAAAGATGCCACGATAAATTCTTTTTTTAAGTCGTTTTTAAACCGGTATGTCATTTAAGCATGAAGCTCATTTTTATTCTTCCGTAACAGCAGCATAAATTATTTTACTTACATCAACATTCTTATGTACATATATATATATATATATATATATATATATATATATATATGTGTGTGTGTGTGTGTGTGTGTGTGTGTTTGTGTGTGTGTTTGTGTGTGTGTACCCATAATTTATTTTTTTTTTTCTCCATCACTCCTATTAATTAGGTTTATGGAAAATAACTTTGCCCCATTTTTTTAGATGATGAATTGGCATTACATACATATATTTTCAGACTAACATTCTCATCATTTCCGTTATTTCCACAAGGGTAGAATGTTTCAGTTTCTGATTTCAGAAATACAAATAGATATTGACGTCTTACTAATTAACCCATAGATGGGGGAGAATATGTGAATCCATACCTTTCCCGAGGGTATTAGCGCGTTTAGTGAATGTAATCTCAAATGTTTTTGTGAAAGGAAACTCGTTATTTTCCGATTAAGAAGCCGTTATTCATTACACACCCAAGATTAGCAAGCGGGCACCCATCCAGGCACTGACCAGGCTCAACGTTGCTAAACTTTAGTGATTGTACGAGAAACAGTGTTTCTATGTGATATGGCCGTAAACCTATTACACCACCATCCAAGCTTACAACACCTGGTATTCCCAAGATTTTCCCGCAGTATGTTGCCGTTGCTTTCTGCCATAGACTGGTAGGCAACCAAGGCCGTAGGACCCAGTATGTCTTGCTATTTAACCCACAAGTGGGAGGAGGAGGAAAGATGGCTACCAAGGTCATTTGCGCGTAAGTGAATATAACGAACCCAACGGCAATCGGAAATCGTCTTCCGAGCCATGATCCATTACACCACCCGCACGCCTAAATTCCAACACCTGGTATTGCCAAGCGGTCACCCATCTAAGTCCTGACCAGGCTCGATGTTGCTTAACTTCAGTGATCGTACGTGAACTCAGATCCCCGATTAACAATTCCGAGCCATTATCCAGTACACCAACCTCACATGCAAGCTTAACGCACTTGATATTCCCAAGCGTTCGCCCACCTAGGTACTGACCAAAATCTACGCTGATCATACGGGGACCAGTGTTCCAATTCCAAAGACCTGAGAAAATCGATATATATATGAACAAACTTCCTCAAAAATCGACACAAACGAGCACAATCCAATATGGCGGGGAAGAAACAACGTCGTCTTCCTCGTATAGCGCCGAAACGACGTATGTTGGGTCCGACGTAACCCGAGGATCTTCTGTAGTTGACAGTTCTCACATTTCTGGAGGATTTGGACATCGCATAAAGGTTAATAATTCCAAGGCATTTTTCATAACATCACCTGCACATCCCAGATAACAATTCCTAGATATCTAATCAGTTTGGGAGTGTGGGTGGTACAGAAGGAACAGAAAAAGGGTAGAATATTGCTTAACTTGCAAGTGGTCTGACACACAGGTAGATTAGTGTAGTCAGTTCAGTTGAAAAATTATATTTATTATATATAAAAATACAATTATGGCACAAGGCCGAAAAAGAGGAGGGGTTGAGGCTGGTCTTCACTAACTATCCTATACCTAGCTAATTCGATTCACGAACCATTCACTCATTACAATTTGCACATTCACCACAAAAACTTGTCCGTCGTCAACCAATCACTCATACACCATAATACTACATCTTCTCAAGGGAGGGGGACCTAGAAAACGCTCCCCATATCATAAAAATTTAATGATCATAATATATATATATATAAATATAAAGATGAAAACTGAGTGGGAAGGGAGATGAACCCAATAACAAACTAAACACGAACACAAAGTAAACTAAACATAACTGATGTTAGTTGAACCCGTCCAACAACTCAGTTCAAAAAACAGCCCTGAGTCATTTAATGGGGAGATATATGGGTAAATAGAGTGCACTCATGCAAATGTGTTGGGCAGGTCCATTCCAGCGAAATGGACTAACCCACCTGATGGATTAGGTACTCTCCTATAAATGAAGTAGAATTAGCTGGCTTGCCTTTACAAAGGGATACAAGAAGGCAGCCATGTTAGCAGGTAAGTCATTTGACTTCTACAGTGTACAGGAAAGCATCCTCTTGGGTGCGTATCACACAAAGTGACAGTTCTGAGCAAGAAACAGTCTGAATGTCCTATTTATTAAAATAATATGAAGGGGATGTATAGGGCATGCTGGGAAGGTCTGAAGTGGTAGAAGTAAAGAACGTAGCTTGTCTGAACATTTTCCATGGAAATAGCGAAAGAATAGTGAGAGACGAACGACGTTTTGTCTGTGGGGAAGGGGTCATAGTGTGGGAAATATTTTATGAGGATATGTAGGATAAATAACAGGTGATCCGAAACTTGTAGTGTGTGTAGAATATGGGTTAGCTTGAAAGTAGTCATTTAATAGGGAGATATATGGGTGAATAGAGTCCACCCATGCAAATGTGTTGGGCAGGTCCATTCCTGCAAAATGGACTAACCCACCTGCTGCATTAGGTACTCTCCTATAAATGAGGCAGATTAGCTGGCTTGCCTTTATAACGAGATACAAGAAGGCAGCCATGTTAGCAGGTAAGTCATTTGACTTTTACAGACGAGAGGTAGTGTCAAATGTTACATATTAATACAAATGACAGATGGGTGACCGCTGAGGAATACCAGTTTCTGTAATCCTAAATGTGCGCGTGGTATAATAGATAATGGCTCGAAATTGTTAATCGGTAATCCGAGTTCGAATTCCAGTTGGCTTCATTATATTTACTTATGCGCAAAATAACCTTGGGAAAGGTATGGATCCGCATCTTCACCCCCACCTATGAGTTAATTAACACTAAAAAGAAATTCTCAAATTACCATATTAGTGAAAAACGCACTTTGTTAAATTTTCAAAAAAAGTTCAACCTTATCGACCTCAGGCTCCAAATGGTTTTATCCGTTAACAATAACACATTTCTAAAAAAACATATTTCGACTAATATTTAATCTTTCGTGTCCCACTACTACCTGGATTTACTAAAAAAACAAATTAATTTCCATGTTTGAAGGTGGCAGTAAGTACAACTGAAAGTACTAGCAAAATAAAAAAAAAAACTTTATACAGCTTGTAGTTATTATAAACAAGGATCATAACATTCATCGAGTGCTTCGTAGGTTAATGTAACTTTAATAAATCTGTTTGCGAAGATGTTTTTCGCCATTTATATCATTAACTTTACTAATCTACTTTTTGTATGAATAATTCATGTAATATATATATATATATATATATATATAAACATAAAACATTAGGCAGCATATGATTTACATACAAAGAATAATCACACATAGAATTAATCAGAAGTATTCAATGTGATTATTGGCGACATCCGTCGCTAGAAAACATAATATATGCATTAAAATCCTGTTCATCCATAGTGCGAGTTTTGATCCTTGAAGAAAAACTTGTTGTCTGTAGTTTTTCAGTTTATTCGATGTTAAAATGCTAGTACTTACGGACAGTCTTCAATCCATCATCAGGCATGTGTTTTTTTTCCTGGGTTTTCGACATTCCAACCATCTGAAGAAGGCCGGAGCGTACAACGGCCGAAACGTTTTAATAAATATGGCAACAAAGATGAGAAAAATAGTCCGAATAATGTAACTAGTGTACATAATACCTCATCTCAGAAATATAGACAGATACTGAAGGGCCGAAATGTTGTAATAAATATGGCGACAAAGATGAGGACAATAGTCCGAATAATGTAAATAGTGTACATAATACCTCATCTCAGAAATATAGACAGATACTGAAGGGCCGAAATGTTGTAATAAATATGGCGACAAAGATGAGGACAATAGTTCGAATAATGTAAATAGTGTACATAATACCTCATCTCAGAAATATAGACAAATAATGAAAGGCCGAAACATTGTAATAAATATGGCGACAAAGATGAGGACAATCAGTTTGGATTACGTCTATAGGTCGACGCATTCGAGAAATTTCAGTAAATAAAAATAAGTATTTTTTATAATATCATTTGAAGCAATAAACATGTCGCATTAAAAATTAATCCATTAATTCTTTGTATATATATATATATATATATATATATATATATATATAAAGGGTTGTGTAAATAGATGTGACAGAGTGCTAGGTCATTCAGTGTAATGTTTTCAGTTATTGAATTACGTACAACCATTTCCTGGATGTCTTGAGACCTGTTTATGCTTTTTAATCAGTCATTTGCTAATCATACTTTTTTTTTATATTGACATACGATAATATCTAGGGCCATTTTTATGACGCTAAATTTTATTCACTCCTTTTTGGTAAGCAATTTAACGGAAATGAGTGATGTTTGCCTGGCACTTCCGGTGACTACAGATATCGCTTTTGATCCCACCCATGTTGGAATCTTGAAGCGAGGCAAATCTTTGACGCCCTCTTCCGATAAGGTTTGCTAAATTCACTGAATTTTATAAATCTACACATTTCCAGTAATTATATATATATATATATATATATATATATATATATATATATGTGTGTGTGTGTGTGTGTGTGTGTGTGTGTGTGTGTGTGTGTGTGTGTGCTTGTTTGTAGGATATATAATGGTATCCAAAAACAAAAATACAAACACTTTCTGGTCTATGGTCGTCGGATCTAATAAGGTAATTGAATTTATTGACCCTCTTAGTTCCCAAAATACTAACTCATTTTTCTTTCACACAGTTTTATCTCTCATTCCGGCCTGAAGAGGCCGAAGTTACTTTACGATGTCGAAACGTGTTCCATGTTGTCTCATCTCCACACACACACACATACACCCACACGCGCACACACATACACACACACACATACATACACACACACATACATACATACATACATACATACATACATGCATACATATATGCATGCATGCATATATATATGTATGTATGTGTATGTATGTTATTTTCCTGTTGCATGATAAACTTCGGCCAGATTAGTTTGGATGCATTTCTCTTTAAACTGGCAGACAATAAGTTTCTGTAGACTTTTGAATTAATTCTACTGCTAGAATCACGAGTTACATAATCAATAAATATCAGTGTACATGTTCCTGAAGCAGCCATGAAAGCCTAAGCCAAGACATTGCCTCCGCCATGTTTCACAGATGAGCTTGTATGCTTTGAGTCCTAAGCAGTTGTTTTCTTTTGAAACAATTTTTTGCTTTTCATCACTTTGGAAGAGATTAATTTTTGGTCTCATGAATACTTAAAACATTTTTCCAGAACTTTTGTCGCTCATCTGATTATTTCCTTGCAAATTCGTATCTGCTCTTCCGATTTTTACTCCTAACGAGTTGCTTGAATCTGGTGTAACGCTTAGCTCTGCAAACGGGAGGTTGTCTGTTATCAACCAATATTGTTTTCCTTGGTCGACCTGTTCCATGTCCATTACTCATAATACCAATAGGTTCTTTCTTTAACAGGACATTCCCAATTGTTGTATTGGATATGCCAAATTTTTGTCCAATGGTTCTTATTGATTTCCCCTTCTTTTCTAGACATTAAAATAGTTTGATTTTCTCCCATAGACAGTTCTCATGTCTTTATGTTGGTTTAATTCCGTAGTGTGTCTAACATAAATATAATTCTTACAGTATTTTTCATTAAAAAACAAGGGGAACAATCCATTATAAATATATGGTCGCAAATCCTCCGTTTTTGAGTTATTAGGTTTAATCTTTACGATAGACGAAGTTAAATGTACAATCCTAGATAAAATCCAAAATACTTATTACTATAGTTGGTCGTGCCACGGATCCTGTCTCAGCGATCGCGATGATAAACAGGCGCAAAGGACTCAGCTATCTTCGATTTGGAAAGGCAATCAAATACAGCCGTGCAGCCTCCGTCCATTACCATTATCGCGCGGCCGTATATAAAAAATCATATCTGCTTGCACACGAAA